ATTGTTATTGTATTATTTCTCTGTTGAGAAATTCTCAGTAGTTGCCCGGAGTCAGGAAGTTGGCGGTGTTTCACCCCTTTGCCTGGGAAAACACGTAGAGCTATCCCACGCCTAATCTCTCTTTGGTCTACCGTCCCACCGGATTCTGAGAGTGAGTACAACACATCAAGGACAACTGGAAGAATGGGAAGCCGACGTCATTTTCGTGTTGTATGCGGACGACATCGCATACTTCACGTCGTACAAGAAAACAGTGATTGCAGCCAAGAGGATATAGCGGCTGCTCGACCTCGACTCAACTCCCACATGGCTGGACAGATGGCAGATGTCAATCAACATTGGGGAAACATCAGCCATAATCACTAACAGCCTAGTGCACTTGCCGGCCCCACTCAAATTGAGCGGTCAAGACGACGTTGAAGACGAATGTAACTGGGCTGGGCTGCCAAATAGATCACTCGTTACGACTGGTCTCCCAAGTTGACCAAGTTTCGATAGACACGAGCTGACCCTCTTACGATGATCCGCTGACAATCTTATACCCTACACTGTTAACGTCGTTACGACTAAAGATCAAGATCGGTATAGATATATAAGACCTACATCCGCTCACTGCGCTCATATCACCCACGCAGAAGGAAAGAAACAATCTCAACAAACCTTAGCACTTCGTATCACCGTGGGAGCATGTTGATACGTCAGGAATGATGTCATCCCAGCGAACTTAAAGATGGAAACAGTTGAGGACTTTATAAACCACCTGGCAAGAAGGATCTACCACCACGCCGATAATGGGCCGCACACGCACCTAAACAACTTGACCCTCCTTCATGCTCGTACTCTTGATGGTCAACTACTCCCAAGAGTACTCCTGAAATCACCGCTGATTATTGTAGAGTCGGAAAGCGATGGAACCAACTAAAAGAGAAGGCAACAACATCTACACAAATCTACCATGTCCAACACTAATGAAGAAACGAGAAAAACAAAAGAATTCTTTTGTTTTTCTCGTCATCTTAAGATGAATAGAAAGCATAACTTCTACAAATTTGTCCATCAGTGAAGTACATAAGAACCGTTACCCCCTGAGATAATATCCTTGGCAGAGGTTAGTCTCGAGACCCGATACCTGCGGGTTTCACTACCCCTTGAAGACTTACTGACGTGGGAAATTGAGAATGCATCTGTGTTTGCGCATACACTCGGGCGCCATAATCCTATCCTGCACAAATGGCTAGTCTCCGTTGAGACTCAACGTCAATATTACGAGAATATTATCTATATCTATACAAATAAATAAAATTGAAGTGTCTGTTTGTAATTTCAAAATAACCTCTTTTTACTAAAGGTGTATGAAAGTATATACGTTACTTTTAACAAAAAACCATTTTAAAAATTTTTGTTCGTCTGTCTGTTTGTTCCGGCTAATCTCCGAAATAGCTGGTCCGATTTTGACGGGATTTTCACTTGCAGATAGAGGATGTTATGTAACTAAGGATACTTTTATTTTAAAAAAAATAATTAAGGTACCGCGCAAAAAAACCATAACCCATGAAATCCAACCGTAATTAATTCCACGTGGACGAAATCGCGGAGAACAGCTAGTTATTAAATAAATTTACATTTATCCTTACGTACATGATGTTTTATAAAAATAAACAACGATGGAAATGTCAATATGTTAGTCTGCTTGAAAAAGTTGCGTAGCGACTCGAGAAGGCCCAAATTATAGACTGCCCGTATCGATTGCTTTTGCAAAATGAATATTGCTTCCAATCTAGCTGCAGATCTTCGCAGTTATATATCGTAGACATTATTTATATTAAGATAATGTAGAGGTAAACAAGGTAAACTAATTTAGCTGAAGAAACGGCTTTCTAATCCTTCTAATAGCGAAAACTGCGACCTTAATTTCGGAGGTATATAAGTGCTCTCACTGGAGCTTTGAATGTACAGAAATTCCTAGAAATTGGAACATCCGAAATCTTAATTATTATTTCATCAATCAATTACATTTTGGAGAGAATGAGACAGTTTAAATTGTAAACACTTTTGTTTTTTCTGCATTTAAAAGCAAATAAGTACTTGGTTAGACCGTCCCAGTAAGAAAATTCATTTAATTAAGGTAATGATGAGGTATCATCAGCAAAAAGAACCATCAACATATAAGAAAGATCATTTATCTTGAGCACAAACAAAAAAGGACCAAGTATGGATCCTTGAGGGACACCAAATTTTATCACACATGCTGATGACATGATAAAATATTACCCTGCTGAGTCTATGAATAATGCTTTTCAACAATTCATTGACTCCCATCCCCGGGGTTTCTAAAGCAGAGACATCACTGATGATAATCATCTTTGATGCGACAATAATAGCCAGTACTTTAATAAAATAAATTTATATAAGATACTAACTGGTACCCGGCGCATTGCTGCCGTAAATAAAATATTTGTGGTAATAAATTATATAAAAATTTGGAAGGGTTATATTCTTTAATTATGAATGATAATTAAAGAATTAAACTAAACAAACATTCATTGAAATCATACAATTAGTATAGTATATTCTATGATTGAAATTGAATGACATATTATGACCTTCAAATATGTATGTTGGTAAGACACGCGCGCCACCTACTGTAATTTAATTGTACCATACCTATAACATTCGCGCACATAGATAATATACTATATAGGGCATTCGCGCAAGTGCAAGCACGATATGGTAGCATATAAACTACGAATAATCAAAAATTCATTTTTATACATTAAATATAAGATATATAATATACATATACATAAAGAATTGCTTTAATTTCATAAGTTTCAATAAAATGTTCTGATGGTTATCAAATCAGTAACTGTTGTTTACACCATTTTAGGCTATTGTGCTGAAAAAAAATTCTTCAAATTTAAAAAATATAACAAATTTTAATTTGCACTGTTTATTCTTAAATAAAATTAAAAAAAATTACCTCTTCTATAATTATCCAGTATAATTCAGAACTTTAATATAATACAAAGAATATTTCCATAAAAAGAGGTTGAGAAATATTATGTAAACACAAAGTTTTAAAACCACAAAATAAACACTGCTTATGTTTGTATATCTGATCTGAAAAAATAGTAGCATCTATGAATAGGTAATTTTTAGTGTTAAATTATAATATACTACCATAAGGTAATTTTTAGATTTCAATTGTAGTACAAACTGCCAATTCGACATGAAAAGTATTACAAAAATTTGTTAAATGCACATACATCTTTAATTAAATTTTACATCTTTCATGAATACTGGTATATGGTATATGAACTTTTGGTATATTATCTCAACATCCAATGAAATATTACAGACCTGCATTAGTGATAATTTTAATACTAACAATATACAATTAATTCAAATTCCAAAAAAATATTACTATCATTGTTTCATAATAATCATCACCTGCCCATACAGAAACTTATGCTTACCAACATTTTTATGTGTAATAGCCTAGCAAAAGATTTTATAAGCTGAAATTATTTTAATTTCTTTTAAAACCCTATTGCATTAATATTGTCAAACCACAATATCTATACAAATAAATAAAATTGAAGTGTCTGTTTGTAATGTCAAAATAACAGCTTTTTACTAAATGCATATGAAAGAATTTGTTACTTATAAGAAAAAAACAATTTTAAAAAATTTTGTTCTGGCTAATCTCTGAAACAACTGGACCTATTTTGACGGGACTTTCACTGGCATAAAGCTGATATTATAAGGAGTAACTTAGGCTACTTTATTTTAGAAAAAGAGTTAGGGTATCGCACAAAAATTAAAACCCATTAAATCCAATTGTAATAAATTCCATGCAGACAAAGTCAGAGGGAACAGCTAGTAATAAATACAACACTATAATTCAGGCTGTAACAGGATGCTTCTTAATAATTGGATATTATCATATCATTTAAATACTACTATATATGTCCCACTGCTGAGCACAGGCCTCCTCTAATTTCTGAGAAGGTTTTTAGGGCAAGGAAATGTCCGACGCGCTGCCCCAATTCGTGTTGGCGAACTTCACACATCATCGAAATATTTTTTCTTATTTCTCACAATGTTTTCTTTACCGCCGATCATATGGTAAACCAGCACTTAAATTGCAATTAACAATTTCATTGGTGCCAGTGGGGATCAAACCTTGTTTGAATACTTTGAAATTTACAGCAAGCGTGTAGCCCCTGAGCTACCATGGCTCATATTATACATTCATTCATTACAGCCTATTAAAGGTCAACTGCTGAACATAAGCCTCCCCCATCTTGCATGGGCGATATTTGCTATAGTTGCCATGCTTAGCAGGTCAGTTGACAACTGCAGTTTTCTTTTATTATTGTTATCAAGGAGATGATGCTGCCATCTCCTGTTTCTGTCTCCTAACATTGTCTCTTACGACTCCCATGAAATTATATGAGGTAGTGGGTTTACAACGCTACATCAAAACTATGTTATGGTATTATACCAAAATCCATACAAAAGTTTATCATGTCATAAAGTACTATTCTGTTGGTGAGCATCTGCCTCAATTTGATGCTAAACACTGGTCAAATATAGATTGTGGCAGCTTCAGTTTGGGAATCACCGAAAACATTTGAATGATAAAATTTGCAATGAAAGCTTGTACTTAAAATAAAATTTAAGCTTACTAAGTTAATTGTTAGTATCTATGCCAAATATTACACTGCAGTTCCTACCTAATGCTTGTTTGAAATTCGTAAGTCATTGTTCATGTCCCTTTATTCAAAAATAATCATAGTAAAAATATTTAATACCATTATTTACATTGTACTGTCAACTGTATAAAACCCCCTTTAACATGTTATAAAATAGTTACCGTCATTAAAAAAAATTATGATTATCAATGAATAATGGGGCCATACACTAATACCTAGTAACATTATATGTTACAAACCATGCAACCTACATGAAAAAGGGCAAAGCCAGTTATACATGTATTAGGAAACCAAATCAGGTTCAGGTTCTTCCGTTGAAAGTGTTCGGGGAGGTGTTGTGTGAGTGTTCAACTGGGAGAACACCTCTTTTTCTCCCAAAGCTAAAGGATCAGGTTGTGCTGCTGGTGAAGGAACATACACCATCATAGGCGAGGGTGAGACAGGTCGTACAATACCTGCACCAGTTGCTTCTTGTTCCTCCAGGAACCTATCCATATAATCTGTATGACCTGGATGCAAAGTATACTTTTTCTTTTCTAACCTTGTCTTATTTGCAAATATATCATGTCTCTCTGTCTTTTTCCAAATGTAATAGAATTGTACAAGTTCACCAACAGATCTCGTACGGACCTTTTGCTGTCTAATTTGATGAAAATCTTTACCATGAGCTTTAATACCATTTTCAAAGTTACGGCACTCTTCTTCTGACCATACACTAGCGTGTGCTGGAGTTTGGGCCGATATACGTCTTCTTCTTAAAGCCTCTTCAACATTGTGACCACACTGCTGTAATAAAAATAAGGCTTCTTCGTCGTCGCGGAGTTGTTTTCCTCTTGGAACTGCATCCACACCGGAACCTGAGTTCATTGCACAAATTTTCCTCATATAATCTTCAATTACTTTTTCTTCTAAAACACTGGGATTCCATAGTAATTTATCTTCATTTTCATAAGGGAGGGCATCATCGTAACTGCATAAGCCTTCTGGTATAGCTGCTTGATAATCACTTCCAACCATAATTGTCTTCTTCCAATCATCCTCATCAGGGCTATAATCACAATCATCTTCCTCTTCAGAAGGTGGCCGAGAACCCGATCTCAGGCACCTAGTTGCCTCGGGACTAGCAGTTTCACTATATAATTGCTGTAATGCAGACTCCGGCTTTTGATTTTCTTCTTGCATCACTTCAGGTGCCTGTTCAGCAATAGGCTTCTCCATATTTCTGTTATAACCATATAAAGCTAAAAGATCTTCTAAGGGCATATCACCTTCTCTTTGAAGACTGTTCAGTTCCGCTTTCGGATCCTGATGCTCTCCAGCCGCCAAAGCTTCTTCTTCGTCTAATGTTCTTTCGTCGTCGAAATCATTGACCATCATATCAATCGTGGGCTCAAATAGAGACTTGTCGTTACCCACGTCCATACTGGCATCATGCTCGTTTACACTGGCTACCAGTGCGCAATCTGACATGACTATCACCAACAATCACGATGATCGTACCACCAAAACATGACAAATTATTAGTGTATATACTTTTCTTTTAAATTCTTTAGTGTAAAAATTAATAGAATACATTACAATTAACGCATACCGTGCGTTACCTTAGTGAATAGGAAAACAAAAATATTTTGACATGGATAACTAAGTTGAGATAGCAAGCATAGATAAATATATATGTAGCAAGCTGTCAAGCAGATTTTTTTTTGGAGTTTATGGCCTGGTATCTAGACCTTTAGGCCAAGTCTTAAGTATTTTTATTCGGTTTATTGTAATTTCCCCACTCCTTCATAGTATACTGCTTCACAATATGTTGATGCGTCACATTGTGCAGTTCTTGGGAGATTTTGGCGGCAACTTGATCCAGCAGACAGCTGATAGTTGGCGATGGTATCTAAAGGTGCCTATGCAAACAAACAGCTTATCTTGAGAATCCATCACCATCAGAGCACTTGTTTCACTGTTTCCACTAATAGTTCACATGCGTAGACACTTAATACACAAAATTGCAACACTTTTACATATCAAAGTCCACTTCAAACCATTATTTAAACAATAATACAGGAGCAGCAAACCGCCGCCGGTAAATTTCCCGCCAAAACTCCTGTCAAGCAGATGAGTAGAATCAGTATGACCAGGTTTTATTTGACAAATCTACTAACTCTGCCATTTTCTACGCTACATTTTATTTATTTGTATTACATTATGTATATCACTTTATTGCATTTATTACAAATATTAAGCGTATGAATTTAGTTAACACAATACGTATTACTAATAAATAAAATAATCCTAACGCTTTTTGCGAATCATACCATCTTAATTTATGAATGTTAAATTAGAAGTTGCGACATCAACAAACAATAAACAGTTTCAACAAATCAAGTAAATAAAAGTATATTCAAAAGTACTTACTTAAGTAGTTGTAGGAGAAAAACAAATATACAATTGTGTAAGATGATAAAAATCTACCTATAAAGTACCCGAAAATCGACAATATTTTTGTGTTTAGATGTAGTCATGTGTTTTTTTAATTAAGCTTTATTCAAGACATATTAATTATATGCTTTGCAATAAGCACTGAATGTATCCTTTTTTAATCTCCCGATCCATACAATCATTTTGATCATATTTTCGCTATATAATTGATGCAAAACACAATATACTTTTACGTAAGTTTCAGAATAAAATAAAATGTAAAACACTATTTGCATTATTATGAAATAATAACGGGCCGGCTCATACACTTCATTTTAAACTTTGAATTTAAAATAAAAATAAAATTCTTACTACGAAGCAAAATACACATTAGCTAGTTTAATAAGTTCAACATTCACAAGGCTCCTTGAAAGAGAAGCAAGGCAATCCCCTGATTGTGTTTGTAAGTCTAATATTACAAGGACTAATAATACAACAAAAACTATAAAAAACATTTTCAACTATCAAGATATTGTTTTTGAGGGCCCAAATCTACTAAAAAGGTGAAAAACGAAATCTGGTCACCCTGAGAAGAATTATCAAATGTCATCATTTTGTTAAATGGCAAAGTGATCTTGTCTATACAGCCTAGATTTTTAGACAAAGTCACAATGACTTTGTCTAAAAATCTTGGGATTTGTATCAAAATCAAAAAATTCGTTACATCGTTCCGCTAATAGCTTACATGGAACACAATTTACAAAAAGGTAATTAAAAGCTTTTAAATTCCAGCCAAAACTCGAGTCATCATAAAAGTTAAACAATCTTAGAACCCAAGGAATTTAACAAAAGTCAAGTACGAAAGTCATCCAGCATTTGAATGATGCTGTCGATACGTCTCTTAGTTTTATTTTTGTTAATTTTGATAAAAAAATGGTCAAGTAGATGCAGGATTTCTTAATGTGTAAGGAAGAAGATATTATTTGTTTATATTAGAATCGTAGTTGGTTATGTATTATACTAATTGGCTACTTGGCATACTAAATTACTAAAAACTTGACACTTTTTACGAAAAAAAAACTGTTTACAAGTATCACAAGTTAATCGATTATTAGTTTTGGATCGTTTTTATTTTGAACTTAAAATTATTTTATTCCGCTGTATCCTACGCAATTATTTGAATGCGACGATTACGCTAGTCTTCTATGAGAGCGTGGTGTTTTCTATATAGTGATTTAAGTGCAACCTATCAGCATATTCGGGAGTTAACGTAATCGGGAGTAATCTGCAACAAAAAGATCTTACTTACGAATTAACGTTGAACTGCTTTTATTCTACATGGCATTTATATATGGTTGACTAAACAGAAGAACTGTATTCGAGTATACTTTGCACCAGTGAAAAATACAATAAAACACAAAAATGACTTTTGCAATGTTTGGTGATACGCAGTACAAACGTTAACAATTTATTTGCCTTGCTTGTACTATGACCTATGACTATGTAATGTGAAAGAAGTGTCAAATATTATTCCGAGGTCACGAACAATTTTCACACGTTGAGTTCCATCGGGGTTGTAGCAATAAAGTATTTGCTTTTTATTTTTTTTTGAAAATATATTATTACCTGACATTCTTTTACGTTTGCTAAAGAAGAAGGCACTGAATTCGGGATCGACTGATACCTCCCTCAAAATATGAATATATTTGTATCTTTTTAGTTTGTTGAAATCGTCTTTAGCTTTTTATGAAAAGCTATTTTTTACTTCACGATTTGACTTATTAGCATTCTGTGATGGGTTTTGTAAACTAAATACAAATCATACTAGACTGTATAATTTAAGACCTTTGCCTGCCTTAATTTCCGAATCGTATTCGTAACAACAATAAATAAAACGTCAAACGTCATTTTGTGAGTTTGTGACTGATAGGTACCATTTTAGCAGCGGAGAATTTTTATCCAAATATCCACTAACTATTATCACTCTATCAGGATGTTATGCCATAATTTTGAATTTGTTGATTAATTTACTTTGCTTCCGACTGTAATTCAACTACAATGCTACGAAGTTTGTTTGTGCTTATTGTAACGATTGTCAAAGTGTCATTTAGCTTTTCAGATGTTGGAAAATGGGATTTACCGCTGAACGGGGTAAGATTTTTATTTCACGAATAAACTACTTAAAATTTTCTGCTACCTATATAATTAACCATCAGTCGAAGTTTTAATCATAAGTTGTATTCTTTTACATTATAAAATGATTCATAGCAGTTGTAGATAAGTTCAGTGTCCTGATAATAGTTATCTTTATTTCGCTGAGGAAGAAAAAGTAGAAACGGGAAAGGTGTTGGGCCCTGGAAGTGGTCATCGCTCCGTGTGGTAACACGGTGCTGGTCTACATAGAAGGGAGTAGTTTGAATATGTCGATTTAGGCTTCGGTTAGTTACGCTTGTGGTGCGACAATAGTGGCACTGCACAACACCCACTTTCTCAGACAAGAGGTTGATGTTGCTGCGAAAAGTGCAAGAGCCATGCTGAACATGCACAGAGAGTAGTAAGAAGGAGCAGGAACTGTTATTCCAATGCTGCACTTAAAAATGTTTGGTACGACTTTCTATTGACGTCAGTGGAGTTTGGTGTTGATACGTATTTTTACAGAAAGATTACACTATTATAAGCACACACACAAAGTCTCATTATACGGAAACGCGTAATTTTTGAGAAAAGAATAATTGAAAATCAATTATTCTTGCAATGTTTATGTCTAATCTGCTAATAAACTGGCGCCATTTTGTAATGTCATTGTCGACGTCAATGGGGATGTCGATTCTTTCCGAAAAAGGTCGATTTTTAAATCGATTCAAATCGTAAGTGGATGTATCGATTCCCAAAAAATCGATTTCTAAAATATCGATATTTTTTTCATGTTTGCATTCATAATGTAAATATAAATCCATTTTATGAGAAAAAAATCCCCTTCATCATAAAAAAATAAGGGGACTGATTCATAAGGATTTCTGTATCTATTTTGAGACTGCTACGTCTCCGGCGCTGCGGGAAGAGCAACCTCTACGCCTTAGCGTAACAAATCGCAGGCATCGGACGAGCCGGAGCGGCTGAGGCTGGTCGCCGAAGGCGACCAACAAGCCGAAGCTGCGGAGGCGAGCAGCGGCGCAGGCTGCTCCCCCTACGCGCTTCCGGCTCTATAAAACCACTCTAGGGGTAGGACAGACTCGTACCAGGTGGAGTCGGGGTCAATCAATTCGGTTCTTTGACATAAGTTGAACCTAACCTATTTTATTTGTTACCTGCCCTAATAGGTACTGTTAAATAAAACAAATTTCAATAAGAGATCATTTATCATGGTATCTTTCTTGTTTTTCATAAAATGGGTTTATATTTACATTATAAATAGAAACATTAAAAAAATATAGATATTTTAGAAATCGATTTTTTGTGAACCGATACATAAGCTTACGATTTGAATCGATTTAAAAATCGACCTTTTTCGGAAAGAATCGACATCCCTATTGACGTCGACAATGACATTACAAAATGGCGCCAGTTTATTAGCAGATTAGACATAAACATTGCAAGAATAATTGATTTTCAATTATTCTTTTCTCAAAAATTACGCGTTTCCGTATATTGAGACTTTGTGTGTGTGCTTATAATAGTGTAATCTTTCTGTAAAAATACGTATCAACACCAAACTCCACTGACGTCAATGGAAAGCTAAGCCAAATGTTTAGTTAGGCTCGCTTGCAGGAGCTGAAGATGACAGACAATCATTATTATTGCTCCACGGGGCAAGGTGTTAGGTCCAGGGAGCTGTCATACTCTATGTGGAAGTATGGAGCTATTCTATATATAAAAGAGTAGTTTAGAAATGTAGAAATGTTGGTAGCATGATTTAGGCTTCTGTTTGTTTTGCCTGTGGCTTAACAATCGTGCCACTAGAGTTGTATTTAATATACTATTTTATTACTCTGCTATTCTACTCATATATGCACAAAGTTGATGTATTCCTCTTGATGTTTGTGTGCTTGGAAATCCTATTAAATGTAGCTATCTTTTGATTTCAGAATTTTTGCGAATTTACCATAGCTAAGTCGCTATTTAAAGATGCAGAATTACGAGTGGTTTGTGAGTAATATCTGTTTTAAATTTTTGTTGTTAAATGTATAATAACTGGTTTTGAGATCATAATTTTTTATTTTAATTATAAATAAGTATAAAAATAATATGTAAATAATTACATGATGTTAAAGCAAAAATCTCTTTATTGGAAATCAAAATTGTAACATACAATATTTGCTGTAAGAAGAGTTACAGATTCCAGAAATTCCTCCTTTTTATTAAGTAATTTCTTTCTAATTGTGATCTGGCTGGTCCTTTGGGTTGGCTTTAGTAATCTGCAGCACGATTTAGGTGATCATTTTAGCTTTAGGTGATAGGCAATGATGCTATTGATTACCATCTAGCTGCTTTTTATGCTGGAAATCTTTAGTTTTCGAGATATCAATAATTATAGTTTTGAGGTTATAATCATTTAAAAATGATACGAAAACGAAATAATATAATTATTAGAGAGTCTGTCACTGTGGGGAGGTCAAGGGGGCTTATCTCAAGTGCCCCTGTGCAATTTCAGCTGCGTCGAAAAATTTAAAATTATTTTCTAAAAATATTAATAAATCACTAATAAATAAAAATATTAAAAAATACTTGAAACTGAACTTTTGTTGTTGTTGTTGTTTTTATTATTAGCTCGAGAGAGCAGGCAAAGGAACTATGCCATACAGCCTTGTCTTTTGTATTTTGAATATATAGAATTTCACTGCTTCACAATATGTTGATGCGTCACATTGTGCAGCCCTTGGGAGATTTTGACGGCAACTTGAGCCAGCAGACAGCTGACAGTTGGCAATGGTAGGTGGAAGTAATAAAATATGTTTATTTATTAAAGTAATTATAAAAGTTAACATTTTGGTGTTTTATTTGGTGCTAGAGCGAGCAAAGCGAGCTTGGGATTTGGGGCACCCCGACTTGGACAGGTTAGGTTAGAAGGGGATGGCTGGCCTCCATCCCCTTCATGGTTATTTTTTTATAAACCATCAAGAAATAGGAGTCCCGCAGCCTCCCTTGGCTGCGCCACGTGGAGTAGCGTTGAGCTACCCCAACTCTCTCCCCCCACAAATCAGGTTTATATTGTCAAAAACATTACGAAAACATAACCTCAAAACGAGATTTTGAAAAATTTATTTAAAAAAAAATTAAGCACGTCCGGCAGAAAATGGAAGTGGGGGGTGACTCTACAACTCCCCCCCTCCTGCCTCGCGCACTCGGCGACCATATATTCATGCCGCAGATTACTAAAGGAATACTGGTCCTTTCCTTTGCCCATTTCATTTCATCTATAGTCTTTATTTGTATTTTTTTTAAAATAATATATGTATTTGTGAATAATTTATATATATATATATATATATATATAATCACACTTGTTTGATTGGTTTCTAAATGAGTGAGATTTGGCAACTGACTAATGGTACTACAGTACAGTAGGGCCTCAATAATCCGAACACACAAAATTTACACTCTGTTCGGATTAATGAGGCCTTTGGATTATAGTATGTAGATATTTTAAAATGTATTTTTTGAAATTATTAAAGGTATAATTAAGTAATTGTAAAAAAAATCAAGTATATACTTAATACGTGTATATATTATATGTATGTACTTACTCACTTAGTACTTTGGTGACTGGTGTTTAATGACAAAGAAAATTCTTTGTTCCTCAATTTAAACAATAACTTTTTTCTTAATTGAAATAGCTACTTGAGCAGAGGGTCATTCGAATTATGGAGTGGATTATTAGGTGTTTGAATTTTATGAACCTTTATTACAATTAATTTTTTCCAAACAAAGGTTACTTATCAAAAATATTAGAAAAATATGCTACAGGCTTCTATTTCGTTCACCTCCTACACTATTTTTTTCTTTTCAGTATAAAATGTTATGCAGTTACTATTTGTAGTCCTTATCTTTTTACTCACACATAAAATTATATCTTTAAAATTATTTTAATTAATATTTCTTTCAGTGCACTGTATTGAGTCTGCAAATGTCACAGTTACCTATCAGTGGGAGCAGAGTCCTTGCTCGCCTGATTATTTCCACTACCATGAAAAGGTTCATTTAATTTACTGTCTATTTTAATTGAATTTTTATCAATCATATTATTTATATTAATAATGTGGTGACAAATACTTTGCTACAAAAGTTTATTCAGATTATAAATAATTAAAAGCTTGTATTACATTATAGAATGCAGTGTATTTTATTTGGTATTTTATTTCAGCATATTGTCGAATGTTCAAATCAGATGTACAGTGTGCCAGCGAGTGAATTGTTTAATACCAGTACAATGCAAGTAAAGAAGTACACATGCCACAGTAAAGAGTCTTCATTCCTTTATGATGAAAAAGAAAAAGTGTCTGATATTGCAAAAAAGCAGCCTGGCGTTTCCACATCTGTAAGTAATATATTTTTATTCAATTTAGTGACTTAAAAGGGATTTGGGTAAATTCTTTAAAAATTACATCATAAAAAAAGTATTCTGTGAATAAATTAACAAAATCAACAACATTTAATACCTATGGGAATTTACCAAATATCCAATATTAACTATTGACAAAGGCTTAGTTTAGTTTACGACGGGCTGTTTTCAGCAACTCCACGTCTATGCATGTATTTTACATGTAAAACCATGGCAAAGGCTTAAATTCTTTCTTGTATTTATCTGCCAGAAAGCAAATGTGTTATTTCTATCACTATCAATAATCAATATCACTAACATATTACAAGTTTACTGCTGAACAATAAAGAATTTATATTTAATTTAATATGTAATAACAATTTAGCATATTTAAAAAAAATATTTGTAGTTACAATAAAATTTGGTTCATTCATTTACTTGTTAGAGCTATTGTAGTTTAGGGGCTAAGCGATTGTCCCTTCATTGTACACAAGCACCCCGGGATCGATCCCGCTGTCATCAATGAGATTGTTAATCACAACTTTAAGTGCTCATTTACCCCATGTTCATGGGTTAATGAAAGTATCATGAGAAAACCTACATGTCTGAGGGAAAAATTTCACAGTCATGTAAAATCTGCCAACACACATTGCACACGCAGAAACGCTCTGCCCTAAAAACTTGGAGGAGATGTCTGTGCCCAGCAGTAAGACATATAGTTTGTTCACTAAGATAGTGTCGGTACACCCGGAGACGCACTTATTTGCTTTTGTTTTTTTTTATTGTGTTTGTTAAATAAATGTTTTTCTATTCTAAGAATAAAATAGAATACTATTGAGACTCGAGGCGCGAGACCGGGCGTGAGCGGGGGGAACACGCGCGGGGAGGAGAGGCCCGACAGCAATCCCTGTTGCCATCGGATGTTAGCGCTCGTAATGCAGTTTTAAACATTTAGCATTTGGCGCAAACATCCTGTGACTACAAATATTAACTATTCGTCAGTTTTTTTCTTTGATGTAACCATGAATAACCCTTCTGTAAATTACAATTAAAAGTTAAAACATAACTGCCTCAGTTTTCAATAAATGTTAGGCTTGTGCCCAACATTGTGTTCAAAATAATTAAATCATCCAATTTTAACCGACTGTACTGTAAAAAAAATGTACTACCTACACTATTTGGCAAGTAACTTTAAAAGATGGCGCGCTTAGTCTGGATTCCAAAATGGTATGACACTTTCTAATTGCTACTTCTTAATTGAGCAAAAAAAAAGTAATTTGTTAGTTTTAGATGCATTTGAAATAAAATTCAGTTGTTGGATTTCTTAGTTATGATTTTTATTAAATCAGATTTACAAAGTTTTACAACAAATGTTCGAACTGTTTGCCTTTAGCTGCAATGCAAGCTCTACATCTCTTTAAAAATGATCGCGTAACAAGACGGGCGTTACTTCTCGAGTTGATGTATTCAACGGCTTCTGCAATTCTTTGGCTTTGGGTTTAAGTCAGGTGAACGGGCAGTCCACGTATTATTTATATATTATACGGGTATTCTCGATTTAGAAACTCTTGTACTGCGAGAGCGTAATGCGCTGGGCAGCCATCTTGCTGATAACACATGCTGCCGTAAATGTTCAGTGGCACTTCTTTCAATAATTTTGGCAAATGGTTCTGCAGCTCGATTGAACCACTAAGTTTACCATTCAAAATTCCCGTCCACATATATACTTTAAACTATATGTGGTATCAAATTTGTATTTAACATGTGCCATTCGTGCAAATTGTTGTAAGAAAGTTAATATTTATAGTCACAGGCCTTGAAAGATCATCATAGATTGTCAGTTTTTGAGATTTATATTATTTTTGAATACTTATAATTTGAAAAGTAAGTTTTTTTATATATTTTTCTAATAACTGTCACGACTTGGCTTATTGCCCATTTCCGGTTTAACATTGATTTCTGCGACAGCCTGTATAATGGAAATGTCACTATTTCATAGACATGGACTTTTTTTTCATTATAGATCATCCATAAGAGACAGATGATTATATGGTCTGATGACAATCAATATATTTTAATTTAAGAGCTGCCGGTTACTTTAACTGCCATTATTATCCCTTTAATTATGAAGGTTATTGCAGTTCCTCACAATGTGCACCTTGAATACTTTTGATAACAGGGTTGTTAATTGATAGTGATTCATATCCTTTAAAATCAATCAAGTCACTTAAAAACTTTCATTATTTAGTGGCCTATTTATCTGCAGATATTTTATTAAAACATTGACATTTATCTTATCTTATATTTGAAATAACATGTTCATATTAATAACTAATAAGTAAAAATCAAAGTTCTTGCCAATAATCCTATCAATAGACTTACAAGTTACAATTCATTGCTTATCTTTAAGTCTTGATAAAGTGTATTAGGGGAAGAAAACAGACAAGTCTATAAATACAATTGAAGTGTCTGTTTACAATAGAAAAATGACAGCTGTTCACTAAATACATATGAAAGTGTATACGGTACTTATAACAAACGAACAATTTTTAAATTTTTTGTCTGTCTGTCTGTTTGTTCTGGCTAATCTCTGGAATTGGCTGGACAGATTTTGAAGGGATTTTCCCTGGCAGATAGCTGATGTTATAAGAAGTAACTTAGGCCACTTTTATTTTAGAAAAAGAATTAGGGTTCCGTGAAAAAAATTAAAACCCATAAAATCCAATCGTAATAAATTCCAGGCGGACTAAGTCACCGGGAACAGCTAGTAGGTTAATATAATTATGACCCTTTTTTTTCCATCCTCTAAGGTGAAAATGCGCCCATAGTCTACATATACTATGTATACAACATGTAATAAAAACCCTGTGGTTCCCGTTAAGTACGCTATCAAACCTATAGAAATAACTTTTTTAAAAAACTACTATATATTTTTTATTTTATTAAATATTTTTTTTAATTTTATGTGGTTTTATTACCTCTTACTGACACTAGCCGACGCTAAAGCTAAGTAAAGCGGGGTCTTTGACAATCCTCTTATCCCCAGACAATGCAGAGGTAATAAAACTACATACAATTTGCATACAATTTTTTTTTATAAAATAAAAAAAATATTGTTCGTGTTTTAATAAAAAAGTTATTTCTATACGTTTGAATAATGATCCTGATATATATTGTATACATTATTTTCTTTTATTAATTCATATAACTAGTCAGGTCATAAGTATTGTCACATTCTGTGACATTCTGAAAACTTTGAATATAACCAAAAGATTCGTTTATCGTACCATCAAACGATACAATGAAGACTCTAGTGTAGATGACAGGTCAAGAAGTGGTCGCCCTCGGTCTGTTAGGACTCCAGCAGTGATAAAAGCTGTGAAAGCGCGAATTCAAAGAAATCCCAAACGTAAGCAGAAATTGTTGGACCTTCAGATGGGGTTAAGCAGAACCACTGTGAAAAGGGTGTTAAATGAAGACTTAGGGCTTCGGGCATATCGAAAAAAAACAGGACATCGTTTGAATGCTCGTCTAATGGGCCTGAGACTGAAGAGATGCTACGCTTTCTTGAAGCGGTAGGCGGGAAAAAAATATCGGGAAATTATTTTTTCGGATGAAAAAATTTTTACCGTAGAAGAGAGCTACAACAAACAAAATGATAAGGTGTACGCACACAGTAGTGAAGAAGCGAGCAACCGTATTCCGCGTGTCCAACGAGGTCATTTTACATCCTCGCTCATGGTATGGTTGGGAGTTTCTTATTGGGGCTGAACAGAGGTAAATTTTTGTGAGAAAGGTGTAAAAACGAATGCAGTTGTGTCAAATATGATAATCAATAATCAAAATACAGTCCTGACGAACCTTGTGGAACTTGTTTCTCATACCATGTTCAATAACAGGCACTGGGTATTCCAACAAGATTCGGCGCCAGCTCATAGAGCGAAGAGCACACAAGACTGGCTGGCGGCGCGTGAAATCGACTTCATCCGGCACGAAGACTGGCCTTCCTCCAGTCCAGATTTGAATCCGTTAGATTAAAATATATGGCAAAACTTGGAGGAAAATGCGTGCTCAAAGCCTCATCCCAATTTGGAGTCACTCAAGACATCCTTGATTAAGGCAGCCGCCGATATTGACATGGACCTCGTTCGTGCTGCGATAGACGACTGGCCGCGCAGATTGAAGGCCTGTATTCAAAATCACGGAGGTCATTTTGAATAAACTTTAGTGTCATAAGAATCTATGTTTTGTTAAGTTCATTTTGGGTGTATAAATGGTTACATAATGAATAAACTTGTTTCAATTATTTTATATTAAACATGTGACAGAATTTATGACCTGACTAGGTATAATTGTTATGACCTTAATTACTGTTACATATTAATATCGTTTATAAAGAAATGGTGTATAATAACATTAAAACTTATGTGCACATATTTTATGACAAGGTGTAAGAGAATGATTAATTAAATAACTTAATACAAATTGATTCAAAGTAGCCTTCAATCTCACTATCTCTCAGATTAATTTTCTGTTTCCATGTGGAATTTAGCCATTGCTAGCTTTAAAGGTTTTTTGAGATATTATTTTTGGACTAACATTATGTACAGGCCGTGTCCTTTAGTAATGACCAATAGTACTCTATCGGGTTCGGATCAGGAAAGGAAAGAAAGCCCAGTACTTTTTCACAAAAGTGAAGCTTTCTGCCTACCAAAAGCATGTAAATTTTTTCCAACTAGTTGTAAGGCTTCTTTAGTGTTGTGAGCATACACTTTGTCATATTCTTTGTTATAGTGCTCTTAAATCGTAAAAAATTACGTCTGTAAAGGACACATTTCTGTGGCTACCACCAGTTTATCAAGTATTTTGATCTATCCACTCTCTTAAGCTGCAGGGACTGATTTAGAGCTTGTCCTGTGTATGGACAGAAAGCACCTAGCTTCAGGTCTTGTTTATTATTTCAGGACAAGGTACTTGTATGAATCTTGTTTTCACATGATAGTATTTTTTGTTTCGTTATATAAAAGTAAAGTAAATTTGCAGCCTATTTACGTCCCACTGCTGGGCATAGGCCTTCTCTCGTTTCTGAGAGGGTTTTCGTTATATAATTTCATCGAATTCTTACATAGTAGTCGTTCACAGCCTGTCTGATCCTAACAGAATGGGTATCTAATTTTTTATGGTCTTTGACAGGGGAATTGTTGGTATACCTGGCAATTGTGCTATGCACAAACACAAGGTTGATGCCTACCATTTGAAGTATCTTAAAAGTTATTAACGGACGTAATTTGAAAATGGTGATTAGAGTAATATGTAAAACCGCGGCTAATCAATCAAGGTTTCTTTCATAATAAATGCATTCATAATTTGAATTCAGACAAAAGAACTTATAAATTTGTAACATTAGTTATGGCTACATGTACATGAAACTACTTTATGTTGAACCACTGAGATATTTTTTTATATAGGATATGATATGGGCGACATATGAGCACACAGTCCACCTGATGATAAGTGGTTGCTGTGGCCCACAGACATTTATCCTCGATTACGAACCAAAATGTAGATGCGTTGTCACCAGTGAGGACTATGATGGAATGCCTCGTTTCCAGTAAAAAGGGTCTCCCGTTCTCTACACTCACCATACGAAACATAGCAGAGTTAAGCTACTATTTCACGTTGAATTCTGTGAGAGCGTGGTCCTTCCCCGGTCGAGCCGACTTAATAGTGCATACAACTATGCTACAATTATAGCTGCAACATGGCTCTACCACGTAATAAGTTAAAACATATAATTCACCATTTTTATGTATTAGCTTATTTTATCTTATGCCCTGTAATGCCTGTTCATGATTGTAAGTTGTGTATAGACTTTTTGACAGTGCTCGTAAAGATTTTGTTGGATTGCTGTCTCATCGGGCTATGAAAGTGAGGGAATAGAGAGTACACCTGTGCTTGCGCATATACTCTGGTGCTGTAATCCTGACCTCCTTTAAAGCTGGAGGCCGCCGACACCGTAATTCCGTCTGGAGGACACTATAGACTTACTATATTACGGTCGTATCATTTGCTTGTTTTTGAATTTTTGTTATTAATTGATAGAATGAAATATACTTATAAAGTAATACTGTAACTACTTTTGTATAGTATTTTATGTGATCCTATAGTTTATAGCAAAAGTTAAAGCTTAATGGGAGTTACTATCACTCAAGGCCATGCGACTATTGCAAATACAAATAACGAGTTCAATGTGAATTTAATTTATTGATAAGGGCCCCGGCCCCTGGCCCCATTTTGTTGTTCATGGTGTTTGACTTTCAGTTTAATAATGTGTACTGTAAATTTTATTTTATGCTACCGTTAAACAATGTGATTTTCTACATGACGATCATCCACTTCAGTTAATTCCATGACATGGAAAACGTTTTTAAATCGGAAACACGAATCATGTTCGATCCACTGTAGCACCAATGCAATCCTTACTACATGATTGACGGTGAAGGAAAACATAGTGTAATGAGAGTAGGTAAGAGGACATAGTGTAATGAGAGAAGGGCTCTTCCCAGCTGTGGTACATGCTTAAGCTATCGTTTACTCACTCAGAAATACATTAGCTCAATCAGCGACTGTTACTCCTTGATTTTCGGAACATTCCTGGGATATTTCTATGTGAATGTGTCTAATCTAATAGCTCAAATAATACAAAATTGCAGTTGTGAACCCTCCTAAGTGTGGCATCTATGTTATATATCCCTATGAGACACTCTATGGGGGAGGCCCATGTTTAGCAGTGGACTTTTGATAGGCCGTAATGCATTAAGGGTGTCAAATAAACAAACAGTCAATGAGGATTTTATAGGTGGTAGAGTCTTGTTGCAACTGTATTAGAAGTATAGTTGTAGCACTAATGGGTCGGCTCGACCGGGGATGGACAACACGCTCACAGAATACCAGCGTAAAATGGCAGTTTAACGCTGTTGTGTTTACGTATGGTGAGTGTAGGGAACCGAAGACCCTTTTAATGGAAACGAGGCATTCTATCTTAGTCCTCACGGGTGATAACGCATCTGCATTTTGATTCGTAGTCGGGGATAGATGTAGATATCTATAGGCCACAGCAACACTTACCATCTGGTGGACTGTGTGCTCGCTTGGCATTGGCATCCTTATCCTATAAAAAAATGGATACTGTGGTCAATAAATTAAGAATCAGAATGAATATGTGTTATTTCCGTAAGGACTAACATTTTTTCAGTATATAGGGTCTTCTGTTCTCTACACTCTATTACCTACTATATTGAGCGTATCACGCTATAACACGACTACCATGAAAGAATGTTATAATCTATAATATAAAAATGAATCGCTGAATGTGTTGCTAAGCGCAAATCTCGAGATCAGCTGAACCGATTTCGCTAATTTTTATTTTATAATATTCCTTGAAGTACGAAGATGGTTCTTACGGAGAGAAAAATTTAAGAAATTGCCTGAAAAAGTCTAAAAACAACACTATATTTCCATACAAAAGATTCGTAATAATACTTAAAAGTAAATTTAAACTTTAATACCATACCATAAAGTTTAAGTGTTAGTGGAAGGGTTCCGGGAAGGCAAAACAATTGAGTGACGTTAGTATCATATAAATATTAATGTCAATATTTTTCAATATTTATACGATGGTAACATTACTCAAAAACAAAATTAGGGTAAATTCCACGCGGGCGAATTCGCGGGGCACTGCTAGTTATTTAATATAAGTATTAAGCAAATTTTGTTTCTTAACTTTTTGTTTTCATTGGATTCTCATATGGAGTTATAGAGCTATAACAAATTGCTTTGATAATAAGATTAGGGTCAAGCAAAAAGATCCATCGGATATCCTGTATCCGGCGTATATCATCTATACATGGTATAAAATAAAGTCGCGTCCCGCCGTCTGTACGCTTAGATCTTTTAAACTACGCAAAAGATTTTGATGTGGTTTTCATCAGTATACAGAATTATTCAAGAGGACGGTTGATATGTATATGCATGCATATGTTGTAGAGATTCACAAATAACCCGTGCGAAGCCGGGGCGGATCGCTAGTATTTACATCAAATATACTCCAGACCGAATTTCGGTCACGGTGGCCAGTGGCAACGGAGACTAGCCATCGGCGCAGGACAGGATTTGTAGTGCCCAAGTGTATGCGCAACCACTGGTGCACTCTCTATTCCCTCATTGTCATAGTCCGATGGGACGGTAAACCGACACGACCGAAGAGAGATCAGGCACAGGCTTTACGTACTATCCGAGGCACGGGGGGTCAGACACCGCCAACTTCCTGACTCCGGCCAGCTACTGACAATTTCTTGATAGAAAAACTCAATAGGTAACTGATTTTTTTTTGGCCCGACTCGGGATTCGAACCTCATGGTCAGCAGTCGCACTACTACAACCACTAAACCAACAAGGCATTCATTTATTTACATAAAGATTAGTATCTATAATGGCTTGCATCCTTTTTTTTTCACAGAAAATGCCACCCCTGATTGTCGTGGAAAGAGAAGGCATATATGTACTAAGAATGATGGTGCGAACAAACACAGAAACTCCGTTGAATCTGTCTGTTGGTGTGGAGATGGTGGCGCCTACCGGTTATCTATCGGCAGCTATGTGGCCTCTATTACCTGTGAGTACTAAGGAGATACATTCTTAAACAGAAATAAGTTAGTTATTGATCTGAAATGTGTTTAAAAAAAATAAAACTGAAGTGACAAACAAGCTTTCGGTCTACCTGATGGTGGACCGAATGGAAACCTGCAGCCATCTTTTTGCAAGGAAGGCTGCAGGTGTGTTGTCGCTCTCTCGGGGATAACTCACCATCATCATTTGGTAATGACTTGGATTATTATTTGGATTGCATGCTCATTTATCCCTTTTATAAAAAAATGTTAATTAATGAATCGATTTTATTTAAAACTAAGGCGTGCTTATTATATATATATGTATGTATATATATATATATATATATATATGCAACCCATTCCGACATCATTGCAGCCCTTCATAAGTTCACTGCTGAATACAGACCTCCCACAAGTGGTGCAACAAATCACGGTTCTGAGCCACCTGCATCAACTTCCTGCATGTTTTAACAGGTCGTCACATTCGACAGGAAAATTTTATTTTCTATATTGTGTAATGAAAACTCGTAAATTAATAATAATATAGCAATAGTTTCTTTTCTTTTATTACAGTTCTTTGGTGTTATGTGTGGAGTATATACAATATTATGTACAGCATGGCTAATAGTGTGTGCATTACAATGGAGGGATCTCCTTAGGATACAGTATTGGATTGGTGGAGTCACACTGCTAGGCATGATCGAGAGTGCTACTTATTATGGAGTGTACTCCTCAATCAATAGAACTGGGTAAGTCACATTTTCTTACGGTGCGTAAATATTACATAACATAACATTGTTATATAACATGTTTCAGTAATGTGGAGATGGAATGTTATAAAACGCGTTATATCACATGACACAAATGTTATATAATGTTCGCGCCAAACGCTGTTGTCGGAATCGACGTCTAGGGGGCGCGGTGGGGTTGAGAACGCGTAAAGGTGCAGAGGAGTCGTCTGCTAGCTGTGCTAATGTCTGCACGCTGTCAATTTTTGTTAGGGAACTCGGAATAATTAGGCGCGGCCCGTAAATATACGGTCTAGGATTTGTGACGCTTATTCCTAGCTGGAGAGCTTCCCAGGGACTTATTGGGTCCGACTCAGAATCTGTATAAGTGCATTCGACAATATTAGCTAGTGCGGCCTTTGATATTCTAGAAATAACTGTTGCTACGCGAAACGGTAGTGACCTTTGACCTCCGTGTTCGTTTTGTGCGTTAATCTTATAACAAACGAGAGTTAGTGGCTTCTGTAAGTTAATTAATCGTACGATAGAGTTAATGGACTATCATCGTGACGAACGAGGAAAGTGACTGTGGAGAACGTCGAGGAAGGTTCCCTCAATTTGGAGCGGAGTCGACGCCCGGGCTGCTGCCGACGGCCAAGGTCTAGGTTCAATCACCATCAGTCACACCCAGATACACATCACATCACCTGATTTCCCTTGCACTACACAACCACATGCGACCTGACCGACTCCGGAGGGACGAGTCGCCTTGGATATAGGTAGGTAAGCTACGTCCAAATTCCTCCCGGTTGACTGGCCGTAGTATAGAACGCTCCCCCATATATTTTAGTGTAATTAGAGAGATTCCATGTGGCCACATTGAGGCCTGACCTACGTCTGCTCGGGAAGTCTTCTGCTCATGGGCCCCTGAGGATTTGACCCTTTAAGGGAGCAGCCGTAGGCCGTAACATATAACTAGAGAGTATTTTTCTCTAGTCAATAAACTAGGACGAACCCAGTTTTCTTCTTTTGTTATTTAAAAGTACAAGAGTTGCTGCAGCAGCTAGCAAAACGTCTTCTCGTGTCGACATTGTAAAAAGCACTGCAGAGCGACAAACGACAATGTCATATAACATTGTTATATTGCATTGTTATTCTAATGTGTAGAATTGTTATAAGTTGCAATATTGAAAAACAATGTAACATAATGTGGACGTGTTATAAAACAAAAGTCATACAACATGTTACTTAATCTGTACGCACCTTTATAAACCAAGTAGGTTTTAAAAAGTAGGTTCTCCATTCGACACTTATTTTGATCATCAAGGATAAAAAAAGATCCCAAAAATACCAATAAAGCAGTAGCATCTTTATATACAGGTATATGAGCAAAACAAGTTTTAAGTTGTTTGATTTCATTGAGTCTTAGTCCAAAATGATATATTCGTAAAAGACATCTTGCAGTTAAAAATTTCTTTGTCCTGTCATTATACGAATAGTATTCTTACCATATTATTATTTCAATAGTAACCTAGAATAAACCTGGAATGTAATAATATATAAATAAAGCTACCCTACAACGCTACAAATGCTTTTCCCCTCTGTTATAGTATTTTGTAACTAGTACCTTAAAACCAATTTTCATCAAATTTAAATGGTAATTAAGGTAAAGTCTATTTTTTAAACAGAAAAATTAAGATAACGTACCCAGTAAAAAGGATTATGTATTTTTTTCCAGGTACTTTAGTTCGGAAGTATACATGTTCGCCGAATGGGTGTCAGTAGCAAAGAGAGCGCTGGCTCGAATGTTAGTCATTATAGTCTCTCTAGGATTTGGTATTGTAAAGTAAGTGTTGCCATCACTAATTTCATAGACATTATCATCGACACTGTGAAGTTGTAGTTTAATATCTCTAAATCCCGGTCTAGCATCACATAATTGGTCTTATTGATCACCATCATAATCACCACCACCACCATCATCATCACTACGACCATCATACCCATCATCATCCCCACCACCACCGCCACCATTATCACCACTACCATCATCATCATGATCTGATGATCATCACCACCACCACCACCATCACCAGCACAGCCCTTTACAATTCCACTACTGAACATACAACTCCCTCAAGGAATGCCCTATAGCACACAATGCTGTGAAGTACATGTGTCCATGAAAATTTGCTTATACTTAATTTTTTGTAGTTTATTGGTAATTATCTTCAGGATTTAGTAAAAAGTAAGGGCTGTGATAATAAATCTATCTGACAAAAGTGTGTCAATAGACATGCATTTGTCAAGAGTTGCCCGTACTTATAATGCTGGGCAGACGATCGGACGGTTATCAGTTCACATCTGAGCAAAATTCCATTTTGGGCAATTTTATTTGCTACATTATTAGCCTGTGAATCTGTTCAGTCTACCAGTGGATATGGGCCTCTTACCTTATAGGAAGTTCCGCCACTCTTAGCATTGGCAGGCGGATCGGCGATAAATTAGATATATTACTGCTAATGCCCCACGTTACCTGGATAGTTATTTATATATGTACCGAGATGGTATACCGTCATCTATTTGCGACCACGAGATGCTGATTGGGGGCCTATTTGCGACCATGAGATGTTGTTTGGGGGCCTGACATCGAAAAATTTTGACCTCACAACCATCAGATGAGTGAAGTCGATGCTCTCAAACAGAAAAACAAAAATAGCGCTGTTTCAAATTTCGATCGAGGTTGCAACTACAAGAGGCTGTCCACAAGGAGCCTTTGGACTCTTGCGGTTGATCAACTATTGTACAAGATGGTAGACCTTCGCATTGACACACTAGGTTATGCTGATAACCTTGTGATCATTGCGAGGGGCTTTTGCCAAAGTACTTTATCATTAATCATACAAGGGGCTCTAAACACCATAAATGTGTAGGGATAATAGTTTATCAGTTAATGCTGATGAAACTGTTATAACCCTTTACCAAAAAGAGACGGTTGGACAAATTAGTACATTAGCACACCAAAACTCAATGGTAAAGAAGTACCATTATCCAAAAAGTTAAGTACTTGGGCGTAACAACCGACCTTAGCCCACGTATGACATAAGGCTAAAATTGCTGTAGGTACGTGCTGTCGTTTGGTCGGGAACAATTGTGACTTGCGTCAAAGTATGATCCTAAGGCTGTACAGCAGCATAGTGAGGCCGATTCTTACCTACGCCTCCAGTGTCTGGTGTAATAAGGCCAACCAAAGGACAACTGCGGACAGAATAATAATAATAATACAATAGTGTACAATGGACTGCCTGCTTAATGGCAATTAGAGCGATACGATCTTCGCCTGGAGCCGCTCTTAATGCACTTCTATGCGTAATACCCCTTGATGTTTATTTAGACAAGGTGGCGAAGGCTAGTTTGTATAGGATTAATGCCCAGTGTAGTTTGAGCTTGCTTTCCTATAGATTGAGATAAATGTTCGACTTTTTAAAAAAAAAATTAAGGAAACACCGGTTTTATGCATGATCTCAGATATCATGCGTACACCATACACTCCAGAGAAGACTGGCTGAATGGCCAAGTCATCTGTGAGGTCGGTAGCCTTATATGGTATACCGATGGGTTAAAAATAGACCTCGACGTAGGCTTTGGAATTTATGGGGAACGCCCCAAATTCAAACTTAGTATGAATTTGGGTAGATTCACCTCTATCTTCCAGGTAAAAATCTTCGTCATACTTCAGTGTGTGGAAATCAATCTGCAAAATCACTATGTGAACCATATAATCTATATAAATTCTGATAGTCAAGCAGTATTGCTAGCGCGGAGGTCAAGCTTGGTGAACTCGAAGTTAGTTGGAGACTGCCTGAACCGTCTATACGCCCTGGGATGTAACAACAGGGTCGTTTTAAGATGGGTTCCGGGTCACGCGGGTATTGTAGGCAATGGCTGGCCTCCTAGCTAGAGCTACATCTCTAATGCATTTATCTATAACATTTTACAATGTCTTAAGAAAAAAGGAAGATAGGCTTATAGGTCTAAAGGACTTCGGTAAAGCGTAGTCCTTTCTACCAGCCTTAGGTATAAATAGAACTTTGACAATTGTCCATCGTGCTGGAATATATCCCCATGTAAAACTTGCTCTGAAGATTTTCACCAGATAAGGATCATACTGGGACGCAAGCCCCAATTGCTCCCGACCAAACGACAGCACGTACCTAAAGCAATTTTAGCCTTATGTCATACGTGGCTAAGGTGAGAGTCCCACGTTAGTTTTTGGTCGATTGCTACGCCCAAGTACTTAAATTCAGTGGAGAATGGTACTTCTTTACCATTGAGTTTTGGTGTGCTAATGTACTAATTTGTCCAACCGTCTCTTTTTGGTAAAGGTTTTATCAGCATTAACTGATAAACTATTATCCCTAGGAAGAAGGATATCGATACCCCTCTGTAGATGGATGGGATTTATTCCATCCTCCCCGCTTGTCTTATATGGTTTAAATCGGGACAGCCCACTGCACCAAGTTTGGCCTTATTATCTTTGCAACCATACACCAGTCCTTATTACAAGGCCTTCATATGGCTCTCAAAGAGTTCAAGGCAAAAGTCTTATATGACCATGGGAAATGGGTCGACGCTAGTAACTCCAATGTTTCTGTTTCAATAGTAGTGAAGTTACCATCAGGCTTTTTAAGAAGCCTGATCTGATTAGGTTTAGCTGTCTATAGCATTTTGTGTAGTCTTGCACTGCGAGGCAAAGACTCAACTTCCTCGCATAGCTTCCTCCACGATGCTCTCTTAGCTTTCCTAATTTCTTTATTATATTCGGCACTATAAATATCCCATTCTTTGGTTTTATAGCCCTATTGAATAGTTTCCTGGTTTTTTCCCTAAGCTCCTTTAGCTTAGTGTTCCACCAAGGAACTTTTCGTATTGAGATCTTGGTTTTGAAGGAACAACTGGCCTCGAAGGCTTCACGTATACCTTCGGTTACTGTCTCCGTCGCCACCTCCAGACCTTCAATCGTTTTGATGCTTTTAGGAAACGTTTCCAAATTCCTCCTTAGGCTATCTCTGTAGACATCCCAGGAGGTCGCTTTTGGATCCCTAAAAGCAATAGTTTCATAAGTTGGTGATGCTCCAATCACAAACTTAATGTTTTGTGATCGGACATCGAGTTTTCACTGCTAACATGCCAGCCAGTAATCCGCCTGGATATGTTATTGGACGTTTATATCTAACACATCTTGCCCTAGCACGCGTTATAAAGGTTGGTGTACTACCTAAGTTTAGGCTTACCAGGCGATTGGATATGAGAAAGTCATAAAGTAACTCATCTCTTTCGTTGATGTTAGTGTTTCCGCAGGCTGTGTGGTGAGCATTAGCATCACATTACAAGTTCGGCGTTCTATTTTCGAGCGAACTCCGCCACTCGCTCTTATTCGATGGCCGGACGTCGTTGTTGCAGTACTCTGGAACAGCTAAAAGTTCAATATTTTTACTGTAGATTAAACAAGCTCTGGGTCTACTGTCTTTAGTATTGACTAAAATCTTACCGGCAGCCGACAGTCCCAGAACTTGACCGTTGGCCACCCAAGGCTCTTGCTATGTTATCCTCTGCAAAGCAAGCCTTCACCACGGCAGAAGCAGCTGCTTTTTTTTTTAAAACGTTACCCCCACACTAGGATTTTCTCCTGTGTCGTGGAGGCAGTTTACAAACATAAATTGCACAAGGACAAACATCCTGATAATAGCTGCTACATGGTGAAGATTTGCCTGGAGGACCCTCGTCCTACTCTTGGCGTTAGCCATTTATAGGCGTAGAGGGGTAGGGGTCGTTTTCACCTGCTGAGGACAAAGGCGTCCTTTACTGGCGTTCTTGACCCTATCCGTGCCTTTCGCTCTACCGCTCCCATCTCCCTTCCCCTTACCCTTGGCCGATACCAGCGGAGGCCTTCGGACCGAGGCGAGATCAGCGCCTTGGATTTCAGTCACTCTCGCTGATGACGTTCCAGTCTCACCTCGCGCGGTGGAGGGCTGGTAGGATTGAAGTTGGGTGGTTCAGTTTCCGTTACCTCGTCAGAGCCTCCCCTGACTTTAAAAGTTATCGTTTTAAAGCCAAGCCCGGAGAGGCGGCAGGCGGCAGAGTCATCCTTAGCTAGGTTCTCCAACCTCCGCAGATGGGTCGTCCAGATTAAAGGTTACTAGGAACCCATTCTCCTCCTCCCTACGGTGGTGGATTTTTCAGAGCTCGGTATGGAGCCCTTAATTTTGTACACTCAATAGCACAGCCGCCTCTTCTGAAGAGTCAGCTTCGCTGCGGGACAAATAGGTGATGCCCAGCTGAGACTTAGGCAGTTCGCTCTCAGATATTATCGAGAGCTATGCCTCCGGCCAGGGTTTCAGTTTTCCGACTTCACCCACAATTCTGTCCTGGCTTGCCGTATTCAGGCACGTTACCAGAATCCAACCTGGCTTGTGAGTGAAACCCGAAAATTTCGGTCTCATTCCCGGCGTCTTAGCGATAACCTGCGTTAGTGCCCGGTGGACCAGCCGCTTCTGCTGCACGCTCATAGGATTCGAATTGCGAATTCCTACACGCGCAGAGGCATCTACTTCTATCTCAACTGCCATCAGCCTTCTGTACCTCTTCCGTGCTGCCCCACTAAGCTAATAGAGCCTAGCGAACTTTTTCTTTTCCCCTCACTGGTTTGTTGCCGATTGTGGTTAGGCTGCAGACGTGTCCTCCACTTCACGCCTCGTCCCAGGTTGGGGCGTAGTGTTGCAGGGTGTTGGTGAGGCTGAAATAGCCTCTTCCAGACCTGATTTTCTGAAAATGATCCATCTTTATCCATTTTGGTCCCACCATTAGCTAGGGAAATATTTGATCACCCCCGGCAAAGCCTCGCATGCCGAGGGAAGGGCTAAAATACTACACGCATCGCTCTGGTCTCGGGTAGGCACCGTTTGCGACTGGACTCCCTCGCAGCCACGCATCCATTGGCACGGTACGCTTAACACCTTGGATTGGATTAGGATAGGAAAAAGGGGGTGGGATAAAAATCGCTTCACCTTGTTTAGAATGCCCAGATTTAGAGTATTCTCAAAATGTTAACTATGTTAGTGGTCCCTTAAGTTGCCTTGAAATACTATCGTTATATCGGTAAAAAGTGCGTCCCACCTCTCAAAAAGAAAGGAATAACGGGCAACGTCAGTTTGCACCCACTGTTTGAAGTCTGTCCCTGCACCGAGTTCTTACTCGGCAATGGAGGTGGTTGAAAATTAAATACACACCCCGCAAAGTGGTGTAATTCAACCTGAACCACTGCCGCAATGCAGAACATTTTATGCAGACCATTGTGGAGTGACCGGTTCCCATTGCAGTAACAGCGGAGCCCTATGTCGGCCCCGATCGGTGCCAATACACCATAAGCCCGAAAAAGAAGAAGGCGAGCTCTATCCGAGTAGTTAGCCAGATTCTACGGGGCATATCGAGCGGCTGCAAAATGCTACAAATTGCTATTGGCAACGCCAGGGCTCGGTCCTGGAAAGAGCTTCTGGAGGGACTCAACTTAGATCCCTGGAGGCGTTCATATAGGATGGTGTAGGGTAAGATATGGCCCTGATTGCCCCCATTGACGGAGACTCGCTCCGGACCTGCCGGAGAGGTTGATAAGCACGCTCTTCCCAGAGGACCAGACAGGTCCTTCGGGTCACCCGCCGTCGTCTTGGAGTGACATGAGGATGAGATGAGGTGACCAAGCAGGAGCTTGTCCAAGCCTTCAGCCGCTTGAGAGCCCAGAACACTGCATCGGGGGCTGACTGAATTCTGGGTCCTGGTCCTGGGCTTTAGTGGTGAGCCTGGATTCCCTCGAGAACATGCATAGGTAACTGTTTACCGGTTGTCTGCGGAGTGACAAGTTCCCCACAGCCTGGAAAGAGGCAAGGTTGGTCCTCTTAAAGAAGGAAGGCAGGGCCGCAGATTCTCCCTTTGCATACGGTCCCATATGCCTGTTGGACGAGATTGCCAAATTGTTCGTGAAGATGGATACTCAGTTTGGGTTCCGACGGGATTCCACTGTAAATGCGATTATGTGCGTCCGCCCCTTGTGGTATGGCGTTGGCGATTAGTATCGATATCGTCAACGCTTTAAGTCTCTACCCTGGGACGCAATCAGGAGGGCACTAACACATCAATATGTGCCGCTCTACCTGCAAGGTATTATAAGGGACTTCTTGCGCGACAAATATATCATGTTCATATGCATGAGATGGTGGGAATATCAAACGTGGGGTTCCGCAATACTCTATGCTGGGGTCGTTACTGTGGAACGTCACCTATGATGCGTTTCTACGAGTAAATCTTCCCGTTGGCTTAAATATTGTTTGCTGTGCCAACAACAAGTTGGTAGTCGCCAGCGGGGTTACCTTAAGAGAGGACCAAGGATCACGTTGAGCTCGGGCGGAAGTCGTCGTCAAAATTCATGAGTTGGGATTAGAAATACCGTCTTACAATACTAAGACCCTATGGTTTTATAAATTAAGATGAGGCGGGGAAGCCATGACTCATGCGTCTGCGTGAATGGGTCTGAAGTTAGAGAGGCACACCATTTTTAAACTTTGAACTTATTTTTTTTATTATATCGTTTACAAGTGGACAGTTCTAAAAATTTTTGGTATCGCCCTAGTATTAAGGGAGGAAGTGTAATATGTATATTAGGAGGTAATACGGTCCCTAGCTTTGTACGGTGCGCTTGTATGGATTAGTAATTCAATGCAGAACTAAAGCGGAGGATGCCAATAGGGATCGTGCAGGAATACTGAATAATATATTTTGAGGCGGGACAATATTGGCTCGCTTTCCACCTTTTGATATTTTGACGCACATGGACGCTAGGGTGTACGACCTTATCCGCGTCCTCCCCTAGAGCGGTGGGAGTGAGTTTACCACGAGTATTAGAGTAGGCTCTAGCACGTAAAAACGTTTGCATATGGTGTGGCTAAAGGGCTCTTTGGCAATGGCACGCTAGGAGTTGTGAGTGAGGGAGCGTGTGCGCAGGCCGCGGCTGGGGCCGGCGCTGCAGCGCGTGGCGGGCGCGGGCGCGTGCTGGGCGGCGCTGGCGGCCGCGGAGGCGTGGCTGCGGCTGCGGCGCCGCGCCGCGCGCGCGCTGCTGCTGGCCGAGGCGCCGCTCTCGCTGCTCGACAGCGCCATCTGCTGGTGGGTGTTCGTCTCGCTGGCGCACACCACGCGCACGCTGCGCCTCCGCAGGTGAGTGTGTGTGTGTGTGTGTGTGTGTGTACGTACGTACGTACATACACACGCTGGCGGCCGCGGAGGCGTGGCTGCGGCTGCGGCGCCGCGCCGCGCGCGCGCTGCTGCTGGCCGAGGCGCCGCTCTCGCTGCTCGACAGCGCCATCTGCTGGTGGGTGTTCGTCTCGCTGGCGCACACCACGCGCACGCTGCGCCTCCGCAGGTGAGTGTGTGTGTGTGTGTGTGTGTGTGTGTACGTACGTACGTACATACACACGCTGGCGGCCGCGGAGGCGTGGCTGCGGCTGCGGCGCCGCGCCGCGCGCGCGCTGCTGCTGGCCGAGGCGCCGCTCTCGCTGCTCGACAGCGCCATCTGCTGGTGGGTGTTCGTCTCGCTGGCGCACACCACGCGCACGCTGCGCCTCCGCAGGTGAGTGTGTGTGTGTGTGTGTGTGTGTGTACGTACGTACGTACATACACACGCTGGCGGCCGCGGAGGCGTGGCTGCGGCTGCGGCGCCGCGCCGCGCGCGCGCTGCTGCTGGCCGAGGCGCCGCTCTCGCTGCTCGACAGCGCCATCTGCTGGTGGGTGTTCGTCTCGCTGGCGCACACCACGCGCACGCTGCGCCTCCGCAGGTGAGTGTGTGTGTGTGTGTGTGTGTGTGTACGTACGTACGTACATACACACGCTGGCGGCCGCGGAGGCGTGGCTGCGGCTGCGGCGCCGCGCCGCGCGCGCGCTGCTGCTGGCCGAGGCGCCGCTCTCGCTGCTCGACAGCGCCATCTGCTGGTGGGTGTTCGTCTCGCTGGCGCACACCACGCGCACGCTGCGCCTCCGCAGGTGAGTGTGTGTGTGTGTGTGTGTGTGTGTACGTACGTACGTACATACACACGCTGGCGGCCGCGGAGGCGTGGCTGCGGCTGCGGCGCCGCGCCGCGCGCGCGCTGCTGCTGGCCGAGGCGCCGCTCTCGCTGCTCGACAGCGCCATCTGCTGGTGGGTGTTCGTCTCGCTGGCGCACACCACGCGCACGCTGCGCCTCCGCAGGTGAGTGTGTGTGTGTGTGTGTGTGTGTGTACGTACGTACGTACATACACACGCTGGCGGCCGCGGAGGCGTGGCTGCGGCTGCGCTTGTGAATATATATTTTTTTATACGAGTACAAACAAAGTCCACCTGATGGTAAGTGGTTGCTGTGAGTCACAGAGGATGTGATGTGATGTATATGGGTCACAACCTGTGACCCATATACATCTACATCTATCCTCAATAAAGAATCAAAATGCAAATACATTGTCACCCGTGAGGATTAAGATGGAATGTCTCTTTTCCAGTAAAAAGGGTCTCCCGTGAAGCTGCTATTTTACGCTGGCATTCTGTGACAGCGCGGTCCTTCCCCGTTCGAGCCGATCCATTCGTGCTACAACTACACTACTAATATAACTGCAGCATAGAGCCATGCAGCCACGTATAAAATAGTACGTACGTACACGCGCAAGGTGCACATCCGCAGAAAAATGGTAGTACATACGTACACGCGCACATGTTTTTAAGCATGTCTACGGGCCACAGCATCCACTATGTATGGAAATAGATGCTAAAAAGGATACATCATGATTGAAGCACGAATGGGTCGGCTCGACCGGGGCAGGACCACGCTCTCACAGAATACCAGCGTGAAATGTCAGCTCAATTCTGCTGTTTCGTATGGTGAGTGTAGAGAACCGGAGACCCTTTTTACTGGAAATTAGGCATTCTATCTTAATCAAAAATTAAACATTTTTAAATTTCTCAATACTATTTCATTTCAAAGAAACACTAGAATCCAACATTTGTTATAATATAATTTTTTGGTGATTTAAACATAATTTTTAGACCAATACTAATCTGTGCAAAAATATAAACTAAGGTAGTCAAAAATATGTGTTTTTTTAAATAACTTTCTGCTCGGATCATTTTCGATGTAATGAGTTAACTATTAGTTCGTAAAAATATTTCTCGAGCATTTTGAGATCGAAAATGGCGGGAAGTTCCAGGGAAGACCTGCAGGGTCAACCGTATTTTTTAAGAGGCAAATTTTTTCCAACTGTGAATATTGTCCATTTCAGAAACACCATCAAGTTGTCGCTGTACAGGCACTTTACGAACACTCTCATATTCGCAGTTATTTCATCTGTGATATTTATGCTGTACTCTCTAAAATCCTACAGAATCCAGTTGTGTATAACTGTAAGTATTTTTTATTATTATTATTGAACATTGTTTTTATTGATTAAGGGTCAAAAACGAGCTCACAGTCCACCCTGATGCTAAGTGGATGCTGTGGCCTATAGACATCTACATCTTTCCTCGATTAAGAATCAAAATGCTCAATATCCTCCAATATCCATAGCTCGCTAAGTGACCTTGAACTTCCTCATGTGGCCAGCAGTGACGGACTGCATCTCAGACCCATACAAGTAAAGTGTAAGGACAGTTCCCAATAAATGGAGTGACGATCTGGTAATTAGGGCATCCACGACTTTTTCAGTCACTAGGGCGGCGCCACTTAAAAGTGACAGATATCATAGCGGGGAAATTAATTTGTTCGGAAAATGTAAAGATTAATGTTTCTTTCTGTGCTATTAGCTATATTTTACATTAATAAGATTAAAAATAAATAAACCAAACCACAGATATTCATCAAAATAGAAAATTAAAAAAAAAAGATAAAAATGCGCGAAAAATTATGGAGCAAACTACTGAGGCATTGGTTTGTGTATAAATATAATACTTTTAAAACAGATGAACTTTTATTAAAAACTAACTTTTTAATACAGTTGCTCAAAAAGTGGCGTATTGCAGGGACGTATAGCGTTCGGGATGTGGGCTATTACATACTCGAGCTTTTGCTTTACGATTTACGAACTCGTGCGTTCTCTTTCCCAACTGTCAAAATAATGTCTATTAAAAAGAAAAAAACAACCACGAAGTTTTTACTAAAAAAAATTCATAGAAGTTTTTATGCTTCATGCAAATATTTATAAAAAGAAGCTACTAATTTGTTTCAATATCATATTTAATGATTTGATTCAATGAGTTAGGTTAGATTTCATTTCATCTCATTAAATTTCATTTTCATTTCATATCAATAAAAAATTCTACTGAAGACTTGGCTGTATGGGCATAGTTCCCATAGAATGGGTGAAGAAAACAAAAAGAAATCTGTGCTTATATACTTTTACGGTTGGCGCCATTTTACCAAAATGTTCTTTATTAAATTGCTTCATTTTTTCGCAACTGTATTAAAAATAGTTGTTCAGTACACGTGCGGAACCATCATTGCAACTTGTTCCGACTGTAAACCCTCACCTTCGGCTGCACCTCGGCTCGGGTAGACATTTGTCGTAACTCTTTGCAATGACAGGCTTTCCGCGCTCGTAATGAAATATACTATATCAATTAAATGATTTTGTGTAACAAAAAACTACCTCAGTGTCACTAGCGACATCTGGGGAATAGAAAATTATTAACCCCCATTGATGCAGGAAATCAATGGATGCAGGTGGCTTGGTCGTGCTTTGTGACTTTCCTTGGGAGAGGTCTGTGTTCAGCAGTGGACTTGTGAGGAGCTGTAATAGTGATGATGGTGATACAAAAATGTGTATAATATCAATTTATTTGCAGACCATTCAACGAGTTTAATACAAGTTCAATCTGCCATTTATATGAGTTTTATATGGACGCGCGTTATATAATATATCCTATGTCTTGTATCAAAATGTATTAATATATTTACATTTTATGATATATGTATCATTATTAGTTTAGTTTTGCTGCACTACCTCCCATATGTTTATCTCTGCTTAGCCTAATGGTTGACTGGTAGAGAACGCTTTAAGGCATTAAGTCCGCCATATGTACGATTTTTCTTTTGTGCATAAAAGTTTAAATTAAAAAATAAATTAAAATAAATAAAATGATTTCAATATAGAATACGTGAACTAGTTATGAGGATGGAGATGGGGTGGGTCACGTTAAGAAGGAATTCTTGTTAGTTTAGTTTGTTTGTGATTCAACATAAATAGGAATGTGCCTTTTTTACATTACATACTACCTGCACTTAAGCATAGACATAATCAGCAATGTTAAGGTACTAGAGATTTTAAGGGCCTGAGAAACTCCCCTCTCCTGACCCTGCCTAAGTTCGATGTAATGTTCTACATGCTGTTTGATATAACTGTCTGTTATATTTTAATTAATATTTGCTCATTTTAGGAATGGAAGGAAGTGTGGATGGACGAAGCGTATTGGCACATGCTTTTTGCGAGCGTCTTGGCAGTCATAATGCTGCTATGGCGACCCACAAATAATAACCAGCGATATGCCTTCACGCCGCTGCTTGATTATGCCGAGGACGACGAGGGTATTTATATATATTTTTTTTACTTTTATGCATCTTTATTTTTTCAAACCTTGCAAATTTATAAAGAAATGCATCGTTTGGTGCATTGTTTGCAGATTTGTTAAATACCTTCCACGTGTAGCGAGCAATTTTAATGCTACGTTAACTTTTATTAAATATTGGTGATGACGATGATGATTATTATTATATGATACTATGCTAGTATTGATATTATCATATGCCATAATTTCTGAGCGAGATGAAAATAGTTCACAAGAACTTACACAAACACATACACGCATGCACGCATGCACTGTTTAAAACAATAGAATCGGGTTAAGTAACGCAAAACGTGAAGCATGTTCAAATTTCGATAGTTCAATATAGGACTCGTTTGTGAAATCTCAGTACCTTCCCAATAGGAAGTTAAAAGGATATCTAACGGCAAGACATTTGAAGAACAGGTTTTTGACAGATCTATTGCTGTCGTATCGTGCCTGAAAGACAGAACTAGACAACCGAGAGAGTCTGGAGCAGCTTGGACTTACTGCACCTGTGAAAAATTGACAAAACACCATCCCTGTATCCAAAATTGGAACTATTTTAATTTTTTAAGAACTATGTAATAAGGATTGTAGCTGATGTCCGTATGTTTTTTTTAAATTAATTTTGATTCTTGTAACTGCGGTATAACTATAATGCCTGATTCTATTAAATATATAAATTTAATAGAATCAGGCATTACTTTGCGTACATTAATTAAAGATGTTAAAATTAATTAGCTAACAAATAAAGGTATCTAGTTCTCCGCACTCACCAACATTATGCTGCTATTTTATGTTGGTATTTTGTGAGAGCGTTGTTCTTCCTCGGTCGAGCCAACTCATTTTTGCTGCAATTGATAGAGAGCGAGAATTGCTCTTCAAACTAGATAAGGCACATCATTTTTATTTTTATTTACGCGTATCTTAGCTAATTAATTTGAACACATTTAATATATAAATATGTTTCGTCACAGAGGAAGAAGAACAGTTCGTGAACGACGCGTACGGCGTGAAAATGCGCGGCACGAGCTCGGAAGGTCCGAAGGCCGCGGCCGAGCCGCTCGACGAGCTGCGCGACGAGCTGCGCTGGGTGGAGGAGAACATCCCGGCCAGCGCGCTGCCGCTGCTCGACTCCGACGAGGAGCTCGTCAACACCAAGTTCGAAGTCTCCAAGATGCAATAGTCTGTTACGCACCCTGTATAAATAAAATGTATTTAAGTGTCGTATGTGTGCGTTTCATTTAAAACTGACCTTGAAATTAAATGAAAATTTTTCTAATTTTTTAATCTATTACCGTTTAAAAAGAGGTTCTGAACGGAAAGTAAACGGTTAAAGAAACTGGGCAAGGGAGAAAAGTGCTTCCCTTGGTTACATAAACCTGAGAAGTTGCATCCAAATTATGAAAACAGTATGCTCCCCTCCACAACAGAAAAAAATTGTAGCGAAATGATCACATCACTTCATTGCATAATACAATCCATTCTTGTGAGACTACAAACAGTGTAGACTAGGGTTGCCAGATGGTCGGGATTCGTCTGAATTCTCCCGACATTTTAAATGATCTCCAGACTCCCGACAAAACTCAGTCTCCAGACAAACAGCTTCTCTACACATCGTAGCTGCCTTTGATTTAATTTAATAAAAGCCGAGTTAGTAATTAGACTGAGCTTTGAAGTAAATTGTTTGAATTTTAAATCTTTTCTCAATATTTACTAAAGGATCCAATTTGGTGGACTCAGTATGCCAAATACATGTGGCAACCTAAAAATTACGTGTACTCAAATTAGTTGTGTCAACAATGTTAAGTCTTCTTGTAGCCTATTAATTTAAAAATTTACTTTTTATTTTAAATACATTTTTTATTTTTAATATTTATTTCACCCGACAACAACCCCATAATCCCGACATTTTCAAATTATGTCCAGATATTTTGGTCTTCCGATCTGGCACTCCTAGTGTAGACCGTGTAGTGGCGATATGAGAATATCTACTACCCCATATTATCCCTTGGGTGTCGTAAGATGCGACAGAGTAAACTGAAACGAGATTGGCAGCATCATCTTTCTTCCAATTCAAAATAATAAAAAACTGCGGTTGCCAACCCACCTGCCAAGCGTGACAACTGCCCTAATTAGCCTTAGTGGGCTCCACTTCGGACATCTCACATCGGTTTTCATAGTTCAGAATACAATATTGAATTATAATGCAATATTTTCCATTATATTACAATAATTAATACTCGTAATAGTATTTATTATAGTCATTGGCATTCCTTGGGAGAGGCCTATGTTCAGCTGTGTACTTGTGATGAGCTGTAATAATGATGATTATAATAATGTAGTTATATTGGTTAGGGGTTACTGCAGCCCTGCAGCCCACTGACCTCTATATATATATATATATATAAGTACGCTGCAGCCCATAGACATTCGCAATCAATCACTTCAGATTTATTTTTTAAATAGGAAAAAAAGGAATCTTGCCCAATAGAGGAAAAATGTTTTTTTTATTTAGTCTAAAAAACGTTACCACTACACTAGGATTCTCTCCTGTATCGTGGAGGCAGTTTACAAGCATAAATTGCAAGAGGACAAACAACCAGACCCGGAACAATTATTTGTAGGCCATACAAATACTTGTTCCGTGCGGGATTCGAACCCACGGGCCCCAGCGCAACAACTCATTGCTAAGCCACCGCGCCACGGAGCCGTTTACTAATGAGGGCTAATAATTTTCTGCTCACCAGATGTCGCTAGTTGACACAGGTAAAGTTTTTTGTTAGACTATGTAATTTAATAGAGTTGTTTTTTAATAAAAGTTTATCAGTTTCTAGAGTATTATATAAATACACAAAACAATGCATCAGTGGTTTGCGCTTTAATTTTTTGCACATTTTTAATTTTTCTACTTTCATGAATATCTGTGGTTTATTTTATTTATTTTTAATGTTATTATAAAATGTAGCTAATAGTACAAAAAGAAATAATAACTTTTACATTTTCCGAACAAATTAACTTCCCCGCTATGAAATCTGTCAAATATTATACCTCACTTTCTAGTGGCGCCGCCCTGGTGGCAGAAAAAGTCGTGGATGCCCTAATTGGATAATTTTTATTGTGCAGTGAGGTATTAGCAGAATAGAAACTATTACCTTTTTTAATCTATGGGTGTCATAAATGTCAACTATTCAAATTGCCAAATATCTCATTGCCTCTATGCCTAAGGTAATTTTCGGAAGTCAAATTCAAAAACGGAACAGCTCCCATTACCAGTGGCAGTGGCAGAATTCGGATTCGGTGTTTTTGGATTTATATTTCGCTACCAGTGGGTTATACCCTTGCTGCTATCCAAAGATAATTAAATAATGCCCTTTAGATCTAATTTAGGTCACGGTGGCCAGTTCTAATGGAGACTAGCCATCTGTGCATAACAGAACTATAATGCATAAATGTTATCCGCAAACATAGGTTCACCTCTATTTCTTCACTCTCATAGTCTGATGGGATGGGAATCCAATATGAAGGGTTTTCGTTTATAACCATACGAAAGCCATTACATACATTACAGAGCATGATTGTTCCCCAATCAATACAAGCATTTGTTTTAAAGAACATAAAGTACAGTTGCAAAGTGGCCCTATCAAATCAAAATGTAACTGGTCAAATACAGACTTTAAGGCATTACAATATATTTTTGAAATGAAAAATTCTAAAATAACTAAGTATTAGTAGTTAGTATACTTATTTAGATTTACCAAGTGCAAATCAGTTAAAAAATTCAATAAAGAGTTCATTGAATAAAATCGATTAAAGCAATTATAGCTCAATCTCCATTTAATCATTAGATAATAAAATAACCACATTTGTAATAGATGTTTATTAGATTGTATTATTAATAAATATATTTTGTTCTTTAGATATTATGTTCTTTGGTATATAAAATATATCATGGAATATGGCCACATACTAAACTGGAAGATATACATTCAGCTCATACAAATGGCGGATGTGTTTACATTAAAATTGTTAAATATGTTTAAATAATTGATTACATCAAATTAAAATTTACCATAATGTAATTAACACAATAAAATATGTTTATTCTAATTAAGAACTATAGATTTTCATTGACAATAATTCATAGATAACATAAATGTCGAAATGAGTAAAGTATTTAGGTGCTAAATTTGCCAAATTATTTTTCACTTCTATAGAAAGTCAATTTAATTACATACATAATAATTTACATTCATTATGATTTTGATCTAGTTATGATTTAAAATACAATATCATTTTGTTAAAACTGCTCATCAAAAGTTTGGTCTATTGTTTAAGACATAATTTATGAATAAGGTTAATTTTCTTTCAAGTTTATTTCAGACAATATTCATTTGATATGATGTCATTTCTGAAAATTGAAACTTAATGGTCCTTTTTATACTAATTACTTAATAATATAATAATTTGAATTAATTGTTAGATTATTTAAAACTATTTTAAATAAGTCTTACATTATTCTTATTATGGAGATCTTTAAATATACTGGAATACTATGTGTGATTAAAATAAAATATGATTACATTATAAGCTATAAGCTCAAATTGTTTACTAAAATATCTATGACTAAAATGCAGTCTAGTTCTGAAAAAAACTAATTATTGTCATAATAAAAGTCATAATCATCTGGCTCCTCTGGTATTTGTGGAGGATCTTGGGGTATATCAATTCCCTCAGCATCAAGAAGACGAACTTTAATATCCATAGATAATAGGGTCTCTAAATCATTTTCAAAAGATCTACTTGACATTTTTTCTTTTAGCAATGCATTTATTCCGTCAGTCCAATAATCAAAGATTTGCTCATCAGGAGCCACAAAGTCTAGAGATTCCTCTGCAGACTTTAAGATTAATGAAAATGCTAAATGAGGGGTCACCTTTCTACCTCTTAGATCCTTCATATGTGGACAATCTTTGCCCACCACTACACATTTAATATCTGATACAGCTAATTTATTACCAAGTTCTTCTAAACTTGGTGTGCTTTTTTCGTCACAATCACCATAATGTAATACTTTATGATTTGGGGATAGACGTACAAACCAGAATTTATCCTTTATCCTTTGTCCCCTTGAAGAATATTTCTTAAACCTAGTTCCACCAACTAGTACACCTAGCCTTTGTTGCTGAATTAAATCAATAATCTCTGGTGTAATTTTCTCTTTCAATTCTACTATTGGTCTTGCATGTGATTCCCATACTTCTCTATTTGTGCGTTCTTGCTGCCATATTTGTGTTATTTCAGCATAAGTCAGCTGGTTTATTCTTTGGCGAAATTTATCAAAACCTTTGGGAGATGCAGAAAGTGCTCTATTGATTTGTTCTCGGACAACACTCAAAACTTTCATAAAATCCTCTGAGGTTGCTCTCATTTCCTTCCACGTTTTATTCAAGAGAGCAATGCAGATACAAAACAGTTCTTCAAATGGATGATCATGAGTGAAAAATAGGGGATGATATGTTTGGCCTTGCTCACTAGGTGGTTCACCTATATGTAATATGTCACACAGCAACTTCACAAGTTCAACACTAGTTTTACCAAATGGACATTCGTGTTCTACAGCTCTGCTATTTTCTAAAACAATCTTTCGGTAATCCTCGGAATAGTTTCTAGCAAAATAAAGCATACAATCGAGAGCCAATATCCCTGGTGGAATCTCATTGAAATCTTTTATTGGATCAATTTCACATTTGAAGCCAAGTTTTTTGTAATCTTTCATTGAATTGTTAATATGATGCCTTGTAGTCACTTCTAAAGAGTTGTTGTCAATATCAAATGCAATTTTTCTCAACTCTTTTATTTTTTCTTGTGATTCCTGCTCTTGAGAGTCAGCCCGTTGCCTCATTTTAGGTTCCAATAGCCCTAGAGTGAGTGTTTGCAGTACATACAACTGGTGTGCTAATTCTGTACCTAAAGCTTCTTTTGTTACATTTTTGGAAAACTCACAAGCTCCAATGAGATTTTCATAAATCACATTTCTAACCTGCTTTGAGGACAAAGTTGCTGCAATAGCTCTTCTTTTATTTAAATCTGCTTTAGAAAATATTGCATTAATTAAAGCTATTGCATTTTGTTGTATAATACTATCTTGATAAGGGTTTTGAAGGTGTGATATAAGGTTTGGTA